AATTCAACAGATTTTAAATTAAAAATCACCAAAGTTATAATTGAGTTAACAAATTACTTAAATGCTAAAATGCCTTTAATGATATTAAAACGAAAATGAGTTATGCGAGAGAAATTAGGACTTTTTACAATTACCACTAGCCATCCACTCATATGGAACCGAAATTCATTTGGTCCCCATTTGTGCGAATTTTCGTTCGGCCGAAATGGGAGGCGGATGGAAGGAGGGCGACAGGAAGGCTTCCACGGTGGCCACTACAGGAAAAATGCCCTAAACCGGCGGTTCTAACCGGCGGTTTTAGGACCACCGGTAGTACCGGCTGTGGACCTCCGAAAGAGCACCGCTCGTGGGGTAAGAACGCAGAGGGTACGGCCGCACTATCCCGTGGGACAAAACGATCGTAGGCCTCTACACTCGACACGAATGGGTCGATGGAAGGGCAGATTGGATCGTGCATACGACTAACCATTGGGGATAGATGCTGTCGCCAGCACACCCCGATGGGTAGTAATATACACGACCTAGTCACGGGTTTCCCCCACCCGATACAAGAGATCGAGTGGGGTAAAGTAGATTGCGGGGCCAAGTTTTCCACGGACGCAAGCCCCCGTGGTTAATTACATCCCGGGCCGGAGCCCGAGAAGACTCTCGATTAAGGATCATACATTATCTTTTCCAAATTAGGATTAGCACAAGGGTATAGACTAGGAAATCCTACTCAAAGGAAAGAAAGGTCTCAAAGAGGCTCAATCAACATGCATGGCTCATACCAGCATTCGGAGGCTCTAGGGTACTAGAGAGAAACTGGAGAAAGAAAGACAAGCAATCAATCACATGCGTGAGAGAAAGATGGAGCTTGTGAATTTCAGAACTTGTGATTGTAACATTATCATGAACTTACTTGTGAACTGTGATTGTAATGTTATGATGAGCTTGTGATTGTATTTATAATTTATGGTTGTGATGAATCTAGCGGCGTGTTGCCCAACATATGATTGTGATGAATATAGCGGCGTGTTGCCCAACATATATTGCTCTTTCTGCAGGTTTAGACTTTAGGGTGAACCTCCCTCAAATAGAGGGGATGCTGTCAATTTTTTTTTGCAGGTGCTATAGGTTTTTGGCGGCTAACCGGCGGTTTGGCCGCTGGAAACTACGATACCGGACGGCCAATAGCCAGCCGCCGGTAATAGCATCACACCGTCGGTTTATTACCGGCGGTTACCGACGGCCACCGGCGGTTATACGGTGGTCATCCGGCGGTTTAGACCGCCGAAAATACCAACGGTTAGACCGCCGGCTTTCGCCGGTTAAGTAACCGGCGGTCTACCGGCGAAGGCCGGCGGTTTTAAAAAAATACGACGGCTAACTAAACCGCCGGAGAACCGTCGGTAAAATGACCGTCGGTAGGCCGTCGGTCAATTAACCGGCGGCGTCACAGCCGGAAAACCGCCGGCATAAAATCCGGTTGAAACCGGCGGTCGGAGCCGCCGGAAAACCGCCGGCTACATAAACCGCCGGTAAAAAACCGCCGGTACTAGTTTCCTATGCGATTTTTTCCGGCGGCACAAAAACCGCCGTAAAGCCGCTGGTAGTTAAAAAAACCGCCGGTTAATATAAGCTAACCGCCGTATTTCGGCGTTTTTCCTGTAGTGGGCTTTGGCGGCGATTTCTGGCGGCTGAAATTTGGGGAAAGTGAAGAGGAAGGCAAGGGAAGATAAAGTTACGCATTGGATTTAGGATTTCTCCTTTTTCTATCATGATTTTCCTAAAGAGAAAATTTTAGGTTTTTTCAAAAACTTATATTTTCTTTAGGAAACTAAAAAAGATTTTTAGGGAACGATTAAGGATGTTTCCTAAACCTAAGAATGAAGTTTTTTACCAAAATTTTGTTGAGTTGGAAAAATTATGGTTTCCTCACTTTTGAATTTTTAAGAAAACCCTTTCATGATTATTTTTTCTAATGACATTAGGAAGGATTTAAATGTGGAATGATAAAGCCTGCATAAATCATTAGGCGTTTTATGTGTATAAAACCATAGCAAATGAGTGTGCAACATACAGATAATGTATGATAAAGCATATGTTTATTATGCAAATATATCTATTCCGTAAATCACTTTTTTTTTTTTTTTGAATTTATTTATATTAATAAATCATGTTTCATTTCTTTCAAAGTTTGTAATCTTTATTTTGGAGATGCAGAGTGCTGGTGGAAGACCTGCTTTTGGCCGTGGTGGTGGTGGCTATGGATCACCTCCGTCATCTTCTCTGGACAAGACAAGCTCGTTTAGTGCGCATTCTCTTTTTCAAGTATTTGAAAGACGTGCTTTGTTGGAAGAATCTTCTCAAATTTCATGACATTTGAGAACTTACTATTATTATTAAAATTATTTAGGTTTTTTGTTGTTTATTTTGATTTTATAGATTCTGTAGCCATAAGAGAGTATCATTTCTATTTTTTGACCTTAATCCTTTTATGAGAACCTATGAATGGATGTTCTGAATTATTCTCACTGCTTGCATTGGTCTTTTAAAGGTCAGAATAACTGTTATAGAGACCAATTTTAGATCGTTAGATTGAATATTGCAAAAATGACAGTAAGTGCTAGTTTTTGGGGCTTAGGGATTTTAACATGTTTTGTAATCTCAATACTTTTCCTGTTTAGTTGTATGAGTGTTTTCTTTTTGCTTAGTTGGTAGTTTTGTTGTTGGTTACCTCAATTCTGTGCCATTTGTGTTTTGGTCAGTTTTTGGTATTGGTTGTGGGGTGGTGATGCTCTCCCATCCTCTTTTTGTTTCTGCTTCGTGTTCCATTCAGGTTTTTCTTTCCCTTATTTGGAGTTGTTTTCAAGTAGCTTCGGTTGCTCTTGGTGGAGACTGTTCATTAGGTTGCTCTTGGTGGAGACTGTTCGTTTTGTCGTTCATTTGGGTGATGTTATGGTTGCTACCATTGATGCAGTTGTAGTTTCCTTCTTTACTTTTTAACTTTAGCCTTTTCCTTGTTTTGTTTTTTTTTTCTTTTTCTGTATTATTAGATAGGATCTAAAGCTCTTAGGTTTTATTTCAAATAATGTTCTTTTAAAGATGTGTACTTTTTATCATGAATAATGCATAGATCCGGCCGTGAGTTTTCCCAAAAAAGAAAAAAAAGATATATGAACTGTAATTCTTACGTAGATAAGCTTCGGTTATATTTTATGTGGAGAGAAAATTGTAGATATTAAATGAAACATAAGCCATAAATAGATTTGCTAGAAATGTGAAAAATTTTAGAAAGAAGATATGGACTGATCATTGCCAATATTTCTTTGATCTAATGTTGTCACGAAATTATATTTAATTGCATGAGTAATAAATTGTATATATCATTTGATTATATTTAATTATCCAAGTATTGGGATTACAATAATAAATTTTAAAATCCCTAAGCACTAAAACCTGACACTTTTGTTATTTTTGCAATATTCAGTCTGACGATCTAAAGTTTTGGGCTACATAAAAAAACTAAACTTATAAACATCTTTTAAAAGCAACCAAATCGCTATGAAGTTTTTAAAATACATTATTTTACTTTTTAGAACACTCATAAATTTTAAATTCCACAAGCCGAATAGAATTATTGGAATTTTTCATTGCCATACAATATTTATAGTAATAATCTATCATACTTATTCATGTAATATATCCTCATTATTAAGTATATTTTATTTTATTGTATTTCCATTATTGTTGTATTCTCTTGCCTTTATATAGGTATATGTGTATTAGCACAAATTTAATCAAACAAAAATGTAGCATTTTATAATTTCTAATACTCCAAGAAATAAGGACTAGACTGCAGAATTTTCGGTAGCCCATACCAGCATCCTTGAAGTGATTCCCCACTAGTTTTAAACCTACTCACCGCCGGTTTTACGTCCTTGAATTTCCTGACCTACCAATTTTGAATTATATTGTCTCATATTTTATTTTAAAATTTATGCTTAATAGAACTGAGATTTTTCTTTTTAACCCCAAGACATCTTAAATAATATGTGACAATAGCTTATGGTCCTAATTAAGTCAATATACTAATATATGGGAAAGATTTGCTCAAAATTTTAAATAAATAGTAAATATTAATATTAATAATGTGAGAATATTATCTACTCTGTACACTCATCGTGGACCTTTAAGTGGGGAGAAAATAACTGTAAGCCCTGCACCTGTGGGGTTTATTGCTGATAAGCTCGCCAAAGGATTTACGCCACCATGCGCCTCCTATAAGAATGACAGCGGATAGTGAAGTGATGACTGAGCTGAAGAACCTGCACAGAAGGAGTTAAGCAAGGAAATAGAGAAGAAGGAGAAACATATATTACTGTAGCAGTTGATTCATTTCCTCAACGTTCACGAAGCAAGGTATACAACTATATAGGAAAAGGTGTAGGGAACCAGATCTGCCAAAGCCGATCCGCAGCAGGGATTATGGCGAACAGAACACACAGTCGCTGCAGTGGTCCACAGGATAGTGGAGGTCAAGGCAATGAGTGCTAACAGCCCCCCTCAAGTTGATTGTCCAAAGGTTGGATGGTCAACTTGGTGCGTAGTTGTTGAAATCTGGATGTGGGCAGAGTTTTGGTCAAAATGTCAGCCGATTGATCAAGAGTGCTAATATGAAGAACTTCAATTGCAGTGGATCGAATGTGTTCACTAATAAAATGATAGTCTAGCTCAATGTGTTTTGTTCGGGCATGAAAAACAGGATTATGAGCTAGAGCAATTGCCGAGGTACTGTCACAGTAGATTCGCGTGGGTTCCAATTGAGGTGCAAGGAATTCACCGAGAAGACGGCGAAGCCATAGGACATCTGAAGTTGCAGTGGATAAAGCACGATATTCAGCCTCCGTGGAGGATTTGGCAACCGTGGCTTGCTTCTTGACATGCCATGAAATTAGATTGGGACCAAGAAAGGAGCAAAAACCTGTGACGGACTTGCGATCCACTTTGTCGGCAGCCTAGTCTGCATCAACATACGTTCTAAGTTGTAGATCTCCATTGGTAATCGGTAAACCGAAGTGTAATGTTCCCTTAATATAACGAAGAAGTCGTTTAAGGGAATGGAAGTGTTGATTCGTTGGTTGATGCATGAACTGACAAATATGATTTGTAGCAAAGGCTATATCCGGTCTCGTGACAGTAAGATACATTAGGGAGCCAGCCAATTTGCGATATAAAGACGGATCAGAAAATGGCTGTTCTGATTCGAGAGTAGATGGTGGCTTGAGTGCCGCAAGAGTGGAGACCGGTCGGCAGTTCATAAAGCCAAATTTGTTTAACAGATCTTCGGCATATTTGGATTGCAGTAGGAATAGGCCATGTGCAGTTTTCTGAACATGAATTCCAAGAAACGTTGAAACAGGACCAAGTTCTTTCAATGCAAATTCAGACTTGAGCTTTTGAAGGAGAGAATTTATGATAGTATGATCATTACCAGTGAGGAGTAAGTCATCGACATAAATTAAGAGATAAAGCACAACATTGGCTCGATTGTATATTAGAAGTGAATGATCTGATTTGCTGATGGTAAACCCGAAAATCTTAAGAGAGCTGGTGAGTTTGTCGAACCACTGCCTCGGCGCTTGTTTGAGTCCATATAAAGACATGTAATTTGCATACATAATGTGGAAATTGTTCATCTACAAAGCCATGAGGTTGTTTCATATATACAACGTCGGGTAGATCTCCATGTAAAAAGGCATTGGAGATGTCAAACTGTAAAACCGACCATCCACGGGTAACAACAATGGTGATGAGTATGCGAACAGTTGCCATCTTAGCAACTGGACTAAAGGTCTCTTTGTAATTTATACCATATTCTTGGGCAAATCCTTGAGCTACAAGACGAGCTTTGTAAGTAGGTGCTTGACCAGTGGAAGGAAGCTTAACTTTAAAGAGCCATTTACATCCAAGGACAGGAACGTTGATCGGTGGTGGAGTTAGAGACCATGTAGAATGTTTTTGAAGAGCTAGAAATTCTTTTGACATGGCTGCCCGCCAATGAGAGTGTTTATTTGCTTCAGCAAATGTGGAGTGGGAACAGAAGTTGTGGTAGTAGAGAGGTCAAAGATGACTTTGGGCTTAAGATTTCCTGTCTTAGAACGTGTTTGCATTTGGTGAAGTGAAAGAGGTAAAGGGGTGGAGGGGAATTGATCTGTGTTAGAAGTGGAAGTAGAGGAAGGCAGGGAGGAAGAAGTGGATAAAACGTGGGTAGAGGAAGGTATGGGAGAATGGTGAGGATCAGGTGGTACAGGTGTGGATATGGTTCTTGTAGGAATAGTGGACGTTGGTATGAGCAACAGAGGAGAGGGTGTAGGAGAGGGAGGTATTATTTATGGATTGAGTTGAGATGGTGGTTTGAGGTTGATAGGGAAAATGTTTTTCATGAAACACGACATGCCGTGAAATATGGATTTTATGAGTTTGTAAATTGTAGCATCGATATCCTTTTTGAGAGGAGGAATAACCCAGAAAGAGGCAGTCTTGGGAGCGAAGTTGAAATTTGTTTGTGGTAAGAGGCTTAAGCCAAGGATAGCATAAACAGCCAAATATTCGTAGGTGAGTATAATCGGGTAGTTTCTTATGAAGAATTTGATATGGAATTTTAAAGTTGCAGGTTTTAGTAGGGAGGCGATTTATGAGGTAATTGGCCGTGAGTATGGCTTCAGCCCAAAAGAGGTTTGGAAGATGAGCATTATGAAGTAGAGTTCTTGTAATGTCCAAAAGGTGACGATTCTTTCGCTCGGCTAATCCATTCTGCTCGGGTGTATATGGGCATGTTTGTTGGTGAGTGATGCCATGAGTTGAGAGATAGTTATTAAAACTATGATTTATGTATTCAGTTCCACCATCGGAGCGAAGAATTTGGATTTTAGTATTAAAGAAATTGTTAATTAAGTTGTTAAAGTGAATAAATTTGGACAGAGTTTGGTCTTTGGAATGCATCAAGTACATCCAACAAAAACGAGAGTGAGTATCTATAAACGTAACAAAGTAACGATATCCATTGATAGAAGAGATGGGGGAGGGTCTCCAAACATCTGTGTGTACAACTGAGAAAGGAGTAGTCTTAGTATTAATACTAGAAACAAACGGTAACTTGTGGCTTTTGCCCACATTACATGAACGACACAAAACATAAGTAGAGGGGATACATTTAGAAGGAACTAGTCTAGATAATGCTTGTAAGATGCGGTGGTGTGGATGACCAAGACGGGCATGCCACGGTGAGTCTTTGAATTCGGTGTTGACATGAAGAGCGACTGGGGGTATCTTGGCAGTGGGGGTAGAGATGGAGTAGAGTCCATTACGGGTTCGACCACGAAGGAGGATTTGCTGATCCACACGATCCTGAATGGTAAAACCGTGAGCATCAAAGGATATAGAACAATTGTTGTCAACTGTTAGCTTATGAATAGATAACAGATTATGTGACAAGGCTGGAACATGAAGGATATTTCTAAGATAAAGCTTACGAGGTGTATTTGGTAGCGGTAACAGTCCTTGTCCTTAGTGTTGAATCGGCAGAGAGCTTCCGTTAGCAATATACATTGTGTCCGAGCCAGTGTACACGGTTGGTTGCTGGAGAGTCTGAGGATCAACAATAAGATGACTTGTTGCACCTGAATCAAGTACCCATTCTGCTGTGGGATGATTCTGAGTAAACAGGGCACGACTTGGTTCAGTGGAAGTGGATGAATATCGATACCAACAGGTAACTGCAGTGTGACCGTTTTTGGCACAGATTTGACAGTTGGGACGAGTGGTTATAGCAGCAGAAGGAGGACGAGTGGCATTGTTCAGCTGTTTTGGATTAAATGCCGTATTGTCTGATGAAGGAGGAGCTTCCCTACGAAGTTCATTATGTATATTTATATCTTCACTGCACAGAAGAGAATACAGTGTTTCCAAACTTACAGGGAGCTGTGATGTGCGAATGGAACTTTTAAAAGGATTGTATGATGTCGGCAAGCCATTCAGTATATACATCAGAATATCTTCAGGATCTACATGTGAGCCTGCAGCAGCTATGTTATCAACAAGTGTTTTCACTTGAGCAAGATATTGTGTCATGGTGGAGTCCCTCATTTGAATATTATGCAGCACATTTTTGAGCTGAATCACGTGAGACCTATTGGTCGGCTGAAGTCGGCTTGCGAGGGTAGTCCATATCTCATATGCCGTTGAAAGATGAAGCACATAAGGTAGAACTGACGGAGAGATAGTTGAGAATAGTGCTGACACAAGATTTTGATCAACAAGTCGCCAAAGTTTGTATTCTGGATCAGTGGGTAGGCTGCTCGGACAGACTTGTTTCCCAGTGAGATATCCATCGAATTCATTAGCCGCAAACAGTTTAAGGATCTGCAAACTCCAGATTGCATAGTTCTCATTTGAGAGCTGCACGCTGACAATGGATTTCAGGTTTGACATTAAAAATTTCAATGGAGCAGGTATCGTGAACTCCGCCATTGATGCTGATAAGGTCGAAGCCGGAGATGCAGCGACAGCAGTGACGGGAGGAACAGTGGCTGAGGAGGAGGAGTCTTGATTCGCCATTCTACAGCAGATGAACCGTGAACTCTGATACCATGAAGTGATGGCTGAGCTGAAGAACCTGCACAGAAGGAGTTAAGCAAGGAAACAGAGAAGAAGGAGAAACAGATATTACTGTAGCAGTTGATTCATTTCCTCAATGTTCACGAAGCAAGGTATACAACTATATAGGAAAAGGTGTAGGGAACCAGATCTGCCAAAGCCGATCCGCAGCAGGGATTATGGCGAACAGAACACACAGTCGCTGCAGTGGTCCACAGGATAGTGGAGGTCAAGTTAATGAGTGCTAACAGATAGATACCCCCGTTCCAAAAAAAAAAAAACTCTCTACTATCATATCTCTGTCAGAGCAGTGAAATCTATGTTTCACTGCAATAAACAAGTAAAGCACTTTGAATTAAAGATATACACTATGATAGACATTGCAAGGAACTTGAATGATGATACTGATCCACATCTGCTTGATGAATGAGTATCATCATACTTGATGAGCAAGCGGCCTTTTGTTAATTCTACCTTATGATATCTCTTGATCTGAGTAGTTATTTCAATTGTTATAGCAACCTGGTTTACTCTGAGCCTAGGACTTGATCTCCTCTCCTACTTGTTTTTCTTCTTTGGCTGAGTAAACCAAGGCGCTGGAACAATTTCAATCCACAAATCAGGAATAACTACTCGCATTGAGATATATTCATAAATATATTAAAAAAGGCCGCTGAGTCGTAAATTATGATCATGCTGATAAATCAAGCTGGTGTGGATCAGTACCGTTATTCCAATATAAGCAACATTGAGAGTCCTTGCAATGTCTTCCATGGCTTTATTTGCAGAGTTGAAGAGAAAGAAATGAAACGGAGCAGGAAAGCTTAAAGAAGCTTTCTTTTGCAGATCCAAGTAATGCTGAAGAGAAAGAAATTAGATACTGCAGCAGAGAAGATACAGCGGCTGAGGACTATATTTCTTCCTTCATACAGTAATAACAGGATATATGTATTTTTCTTCCTTCATACAGTAATAACAGAATTTTATCAGTACTCTTTTAAATCAAAGAAAACAAAGAGATGAGGATTCGGGGTGAAAATTTTTATGATTTTCATCTTAGTTTTATATACCTTATATTTATATATTTATATTTTTGTATATATTTATGATTGGGTTGTATTCATGTAGAGCTATTTTACTAGGATGTATTTGTCTAGCCCAAATGCATGCGGACATTCTGTTGCAATTTATGTATCATTTATCTAAATATTTATTTACAATCAAGTGATTTTCACCCTCTTAATGGTGTTTTGATTCTATGGAAAGCAATGACATTGATAGGCTCTTAGGAGAAGTTTATTATTATTATTATTATTTTAAGAAAACAATTAAAGAATTAAGCAACTTAAAAATTAATCTTAGTGCGAATTTTTGTTTTAAGGAAAATTATGCATGATTTTTACAAATATGTTTATCAACGTCACTCCGTTAACAGCATAATAATAATGAAAATAATCCATTTGTATATATATTTAGTCAAAATGATTTGTTTGCTCTTACATATTTGAGGAGGGTGACAAAGGTTCGAAGAAGAATTCCAAATAAGAGAATCATCATCTCTGTGTCATCAAAAAAAAAAAATCTCTATGTGTCATCACATAGAATCTGTCATCGATCGCCATTAAACCAGCATTGTTAATAAGGCAAATATTAATCATCAATGCCAATGTTGATGACAATCTTCGTCAATAAGATTGGCATTTGTTGTCACCATGAATGTTGACATGTGTCATAGCTAAAAGGGGTTGATGTCTCTCATTGACAACAAATGTGTCTCCATCACTAACAATAATGTCCATCTTTCATGATATTGATGTCCCTCATCACTAATAAGAAAAATGCTAGTCATCACTAAGGTCTAAGAATGTGAATGGCCATTATCGCCAATATCAAAAATACTTTTCATTGTCGACAATGTTAATTCTCATTATTGTTGACAAAAATGACATAGTGCTACCAACGAGGTGAATGCAACTCATCGCCAACATCAACGATACATTTTTTTTTTCTATACATCAACATTACATGTTATCACAACTAATATTGATGTTCACAATTGTTAACAAGGATCATTTTCATAGTTGTTAAAAAGACAATTGCTCGTCATCATCACCAACGCTAAAGTTTTTTGTAGCCAATGGGTTGGCACCAACAATTTTCATCCATGCTAATGATGTCTAGACAAATGCTCATTTTATCCTTGCAAATTAAATTTATCTAAAGTGTTGACTCATCCAAAAAATCTACCCAACTTTAGGGAAAAGCCGACCATTTCATTCAACATTTGCCCATCCTAACTATTCTAAGCAACCCATTTTATTAGCAATGATGGCCTATTAGAATAATACATCTCCCCATGATGGTGAGACTAAGTACTTAACAACTCATGATGTCAAACTCCATAATCTACATTGGAAGAATTACATATATCTTTAATTTTAACAATTTAACTAGTGCTTATCAATGAACAGCGGAAAAGAAACATGATTGCATTTGATTTTGAATTGTATGTAGAAAAATTTTGTATGTTGTATGGAGCCTCATATATCATACAATCTTTATCCTTTTCTAAAAACGTGTAAAATCACTTAATGAGCACATAGTCCAATAAGTAACTAAAATCTTATAACTAAAATTAATGCAAAATAAAAGAGAATAATATGCTATAAGTTATATAAAAAAATATATGCGTCAGTGTCTATACTGATTATATGTATCAATATATTCTTCTATAGTTCATCACATCTCAATCCATTACATCATTAGTCACAGTATCAGTAACAATTAACAGTACTAATGCCAATAATAATATTAATATCATGATAAAAATATTAAATAATGTTAATGATAATAAATAATATTAGTGTCAATCAAAATATCATTACAATATTTGTAGTAGTGTCAATATTGGTATTCAGATATTCAATGAGTGTAACTTAAGGGTATCTTATTCATGCACTTATGACTCCCAATCGATCGCCCCTTATAACATCCAATCAATGTACTCCTTAACTCCCCTTAAATCACATTAAGTAATTGCCTCGACTCCTTATAACTCTCAATCAATCTCCAATTCCTTATGACTCCCAATTAATAAATTATGTGCATCAATGGGGTATCACATGAAGTTATTATGTGATTTATCTGATATCATTCAATACTTTATTTTAAATAAAATAAAACCAAATCAAATAATTTAGAATAATCAAATATATAAAATATCCAAACTTGCACAATTAAAGCTTATGAAATCAATAGATAATGTAGTGTTTGCAGATTTCTGAGAGAAAAAATTTATAAAAATCAAAATTATCAAAAATATAAATAAGAGATTAGCCATTTATAATGAATAAAACAAAATTTGTAACAAAAGTGGCTGACAAATATGATCCAATGACATTTCTCTCTCCTTTATCTTTTTCCCTTTTTCAATTTCTTTATCATCGTGCAACTAAGTGAGCGAGCCGGTGGGGTGAGGCTGGGATATTTATAAATAAATAAATATATAAATATTGTTGATTATGGATTAGCGTCATAACGCTCACCAAATCAGTGCCAAAGTGCTCAACTTCAAAATTTTCATATTTTTCAAATAAATTTATTTTACATATTTGAGTTATTGCAATCTCCCCACCTTTAAAAAATATTGTTCTCGACATTTTTATATCAGTTTAAGAGAGAGAGAGAGAGAGAGAGAGAGAGAGAGAGAGAGAGAGAGAGAGAGAGAGAGTGCATGCTTAAAATAAAATTTCAAATTCAAATCAACTAATTATAAATCGAAAATCATATTTCTATTTTGTTCATAAGCTCTAGTTATATTTCAATTGTTTCAATAATCATTGCTCTGATACCATTTTGTTACACTCTATAATTTATATTGGAAGAATTACATTTATCTTTTATTTAACTATTTAACTAGAGTTTATTAATGAATAGCAAAAAGAAATATGATTGTATTTTGTTTAGAAGTGCAGGTAGAAAAATTATGCAAATTATTCGGAGCTTCCTATCAGAGGATCCTTACCCTTTTTTGAAATTATATAAAATTACATAATGAGCATATAACCCAACAACTAACTAACATCTTATAACTAAAATCAATGCAATATAAAATAGCATAATATGATATAAATCAATAAAAATATATGCATAAGTGCATATACTGATTATTTGTATCAGTTTATTCTTCTATAATTCATTGTTTCAATTCATTACATAGTCACAATATTAATAATAGTAAACAGTATTAATGTCAGTAACAATATTAATATCATGATCAATGTTGTTAAATAGTATTAATGACGATAAACAACATTAACGTCTCTCACAATATCAGTACAGTATTAGTAATAGTGTCATTATCAATATTTAGATATTCAACGAATGTATCTTAAGGATATCTTGCTCATGCACTTATGACTAGCAATTAGTTTTCCCTTACAACTCCCAATCAATGTACTCCTTAACTCTCTTTGAATTACGTAAATCAGTACCCCTAACTCTTTATAACTCTCAATCAATATCCAGCTCCACTCTCAATAAGTGAATCTCATGAATCAGTAGTGTATCATATGAAGTTATCATATCATATATATGATATCATTTAATATTTCATTTAAAATGAAATAAAATTATATCAAATTGTACATCTAGAATGATCAAATTTATAACATATCCCAACTTGCATAGTGAAAACTTATGAAATCAAGAGATAATATGGTATTTGTCGATTTAGGAGAAATAAAATTTATAGAAATCAAAATCATCAAAAATAGAACTATGAGATTAGTCACCTAAAATAAATATAATAAAATTTGTAACATTAGTGAATGACAAATATGATTCAAAGGCCTTTCTCTCTCCTCTTTCTCTTCTTCCCCTCTTTCTATTTCTTTCTACAAAAGCAACCAAGTGAGGATGTTGGTGGGGTGAGATATTTATATATATACTATTCATGGTTTGGCATTTCAGTGCTCACTAGATCAACGCCAAAGCACTCCATTTTAGAATTTTTCATATTTTTCAAATAAATATATTTTATATATTTGAGTTATTACAATAAATGTCAGCATAATAATAATCATAATAATAGTGATTAGTAACCAAGTGAACGATGATCAGTAAGTTTTATCAATCATATACGCATTAGTTTCAAAATAGTTTATATAATATCCTAATACATTACTTCATCTATCATTATCATATGCTTGTCGTATAGTATCTATGTTATGCATTATATCATTTAAATTATATGATTTATATTAGGGGTGCCAATAATTGACATGAGACAAAAACCCAACACGTTCCAACTTCGCTCCCATCACTGCTAGCCGAACATCTCCTCCTCGAAATCTCTATTCAAACCAATCAACCCAGATCGACTCACCTCTCCTAGTTCCATCGATTTTGAGCCCCCTTCACTCGTCGACCTTACTCAGCTTTCAGTCCTAACATCGATCTCCACTCCAAATCGAACTTGTCGCACCCCTTCTCACAGCCTCCAAGCACCCGTTCAACTTCCCTTCTTCCTCCCTCGCACTCGATCGATGCCTTCACTGTACCGATCTATGTAGTTGAATCCTTCCTACTTGACTGAATAATGCCAGACTTCTTCCTCATGATCTTGAGCTGCCCTCTCATGCTTGACACTAGCAGATAGTTGTTCAAATCCCTCGTGCAAGAAGCCAAAACTTTTGATCCATCACCTCCTATTCTCCCACACGCTGAGCCCCCTCTATTCGATTGGCCTTAGCCAATTTGATTTTTTCGAAGACCCTCCAAGCAGCCGTTGATCTGCTCCTACCTCACATGAACATTACACCAGTTCGAGTCGTTTGATCCCTCACTAGACCCGCCCATTCTGTGATGTTTGTTAACTTGGGCTAATCAGGTCATGCCATCATGTCAATCAGGTATCCCTATGGGTTGGGTTCAAATTGTATTTTCTGACCCATCTATAAAAACATGTCAGGTTTTTAATGAAAATAAATGTAAAGTTTTCTAAATATAGAAGTTTTGAAATTTTTGATATTTGGTGTTTTGAAAAAAGTTATATGGTTAAGGTTTTTCGTGAATTATTTTTGCACTCATTTATTGTTCATTTTTTATGTTTTCTAAAATCACACGTTTTGATCAAATTCCAATTACTCCTTATGTTGGCTCCGTTGTCATCGTCGCCATCCGCTACTCTCATTGCCTCCTATCAATCACCACTAGTTATTATTCGTCACTACCTGCCACGATAGTCTGCTATTGGCCATCATCATCGTTGGCTTTATAATGCATTCATTTTATTTGTATTTGTTTTATATTTATCCAAACAATTTCAAATATTTTAAATACATTAATTTTCTTTTAAATTTTATTTTATTTATCATTTCTTTTTTAGCATACTAATTACTGTGTTCTTCTTTATTAATTTAAAAAAATTTAATGGATAAAAATTCATGATAAAATCATTATTATTTCTAAATTACGTAAATCTCAGTACAAATAATAATAATAGTATGAATATATATACACGCACATTTGAGCTACGCCAGGGACTGTTTAGCAACAAATAGGATTTAACTTGAGTAGTATTTAGTAAATTCTGTAAATTCAAATTTACTAAATTTGATAAAATAAAATCCTAAAAACTATCTAAAAAAATAAATGTTAAAAATTGTTAAATAATGTAGAACCATTTAACAATGTAATTCAAGATTAAGGTAGTTAGTTCAGTAAAAAAAAAATTTTAATTTATATTTTAAGTATATATTACTTATTAATTCTAATTTAATTGCTCTCAATAAATTAAAGTAATAAAAAATATAATTAGTAAATAATTTAATTATAAAATAACTTATTAAATTTTATTTTGATTATATTTTTTATTACTATGAGTTAATTATTAACTATTATTACTAACTAATCATTATAAATAATATACTTAGAATCTAAGTTAATTATCAATTTATCTAAATAATTAATTCTATTGTCATCTTAATTAATTATAATTAAACTAATTAGGCTAAATTCATTTGTTATGGCAATGGCTGTGATGCTGTCTTCAGTCTTCCTATAGCCGAATGTTTGCTAGGGTTTGCTTTTCTCTTTCACGACTTCGCCTGCCTCGCGAGTTTCGAACGAGTAGCTAATTAATTTCTTCGCCTCCTTCGATACGTTCCTTCCTGTCGGATCCGAATTCCTCCCTCCTCCGCCGTTCTCCTTCTCTCCCCGCTGCTAGCATGGTAAAAATCTTAGCTAATTTTTAACTCCCTGGGTTTAGTTTTCTTCGAACTAATTACTTGTGTTTTCTGCCAGATAATTCCGAAGAAGAACCGCCATGCGATCTGCAAGTACCTCTTCCAAGGTGAAATGAATTTTGATCTGATATGGTTTCTTTCTTTGTTGGATTTTGGATGCTGACTGTTTCGATTGAACAGAGGGGGTGCTCTACGCGAAGAAGGATTACAATCTGGCGAAGCACCCCGATATTGACGTGCCAAATCTCCAGGTGATCAAGCTGATGCAGAGCTTCAAGTCAAAGGAGTTTGTAAGGGAGACCTTCGCGTGGATGCATTACTACTGGTACCTCACCAACGACGGCATCGAATACTTGAGAACCTACCTAAATCTACCGTCCGAGATTGTGCCGGCGACCCTGAAGAAGTCATCTAAGCCGCCTTCCCGGCCTTTCGGTTCTGGACCCCCGGGTGACCGTCCGAGGTATTGATATTTTGTTTACTGGTATTTATTTAATGATGGAAGAATATTTAACTGGTTTGGCTTGCTTTGTGTGTTGTGGCAGAGGGCCGCCACGCTTTGAGGGAGATAGGCCAAGGTTTGGGGATAGGGATGGGTATCGTGGAGGTCCTCGTGGTGGAGATTTTGGTGGAGAGAAGGGTGGTGCTCCTCCTGAGTTCCAGCCTTCATTCAGGGTAAAAACTGCTGTGTTTTGGTTATATTGTTTGTTTGTTTTTTATTTCAATATACAATAATGTTTTTGTGCTTTCTCTTTATCTGTTGCTTTTATGAAGCTTATCATTGATGGTTTAATCTATTTTAGTTAGGATGCTATGTTCTTATATAGTTTCTTTGATATGCTTTATTAAGTGCAGTTTATGATTGAATTCTTGTATGATTTGAATGATTGATTATCAATTTGTGATTATTACCAGAACTTTCATATCTAAGAAGTTTTTACCCTTTGTAGTTCCATTATATCATTGTTTTGTGCTCTACCATATATTTCTTAAATTCTAATGATTTGGGAGGATCATTGAAACTCTATACAAGATCTTCCAAGTTCAAAACTGCTACCCTCTTTATTAATTTAGGAAGAAATAATAATATGTGCTCATTGTTTGGAGGGTAAATTAGAGGCATCAACAAACCATATCAAGACGATATTAAATTTTTTGAGAATTTTGTCAAGTCTGATTGTGTTTCCCACATAATTGTGTGATTCCTAGTACTAATTCCTTAGGTACTCCTTAAATCATGAAAACATTCCCTTGTGAGATCTCTTAAAGGTCTGGGGTGGTTTGGTTTGGAAGCTTATCTCTTGACCTTGATTAGTGGTGAGTGACATCCTCGTGTATACTAGAACTCCTAGGGAGCTCATTAGGATCAAAGGACTTGGATACCAATCTTTTCTAAGGATGATCAATTTTCTTTTTTTATATTAAATGCAAAGGCTTATACTGGGAATGTGTGACTAAGATGGGATAAAACCCGAACATCCATAAGTAATTAGAAAGCTATTAAGAAGCTGATCATGCTACCATGTGTCCATGTGAAAGAAAAACAATTTCTTAGAGGAGACTAATATTGAAATATCCAAAATAATAAAAAAAGTATTAGAAATCATGTTTTATATATATTTCTTAGACTAAAATTCAGGCATCAATAGATCATATGAATGGAGAAGTTACCAATTCTATGTTATCTAGTTAACTTAAAAATTATAATCACGATTTAGTAATAAAACATCACTATATATATAACAAGATTTAACATTTTCATGAAAAATAATTTTCAAATTTAATCTTCTCAGGCTTTGCTAATCAAGGTTTGCATTATTTACTATATCTTACTAGTAACCAAACAACCCCAGTCTTATCAGGGGTGCTGGCTCAATTGACAAATAAAAAAAAGGCAAAGGCAAGTCAAACAAAAACATATGAGTCAAAGGAGGCAAAGGAGGTCAAGGAGCTACTACTCGATCGACTAAGCACATGAAATGGGAGAAAAATATATATTGCTGTGGGGAGTGTTGTTACTTTCAATCCAACTTGCATAACGTGAAAGCGCAGAACCTTATGTGACTTTTAATCCAACAGAAAGGGTGTCGTCGAATCTTACGTGACTTTGGATCCAATAGGGAGTGTTGTCGAATTGTTTTGACTTTCGATTGAATAGGGAACGTCGTCGATCAATGTGAAGAAGCATTGAACGAATCATTCGAAACTCTACCTTACGTTTCCTTACTTCCGATCCAACATAAAGGGCATCTTCGAACTTACGTGACTTTCGATTCAACCAGGAATGTCGTCGCACTGTTCTTACTTCCTATCGAATATGTAACGTCGTTGATGAAGGCGAAGAAGCTCTTAGCAAATCATTCAAAACTCTACATTACGTGCAACAGATGAAGTTGAAGAGCATGACGGGGTGAACCGAGGTTTAAATGTTAGGTTTAAGTTTAAAAAAAAAAATACTCGTTCTATTTGAGAAAAACATCTTAGGTAAATGAGGCGCACCTCAAACAATTCAAGGCGTACGCCTCATAGGAGATGCTAGTGGCGTTCGCCTTGATTCGTCTCAAGCGTGAATTGCGTTGAGTTGTGCCTCACGTTGCACAATTTTAAACAACGGATGTGTTGAGTTTTCGATGAGATTAGAGGGTTGTATGGCTTTGGATTGTTGTAGGTGGTGGTAGAGGAAAGAGGGTTACTTGGTAGTGTGCGATTTAGTAGTTTATCAATTTCTTCATTTTCCATCGTTGTATTTCTCGTACTCTTGGATGATTGTAGTGATTCGTGCTTTTTCTGTTTGTTTTAGTGGATTATTTGATAATTAGTAATGGTTAAAAATTCATGTTCGTTGGGAATTAAGATAATCACTCTAAATAAATTGCATTTATAAAAAAATAATAGTAGTTTTTGATAAATTGATTTAAATAGTAATAAATTAAAAGATGTGCCATAAAATTTATTAGTTAGTAAATTAATTTTAAATTACTCGATGCTAAGATATTTATCGAGGATGATAAGAAATTAATTTATCTTATTATTTATTGGTTAGTGATTATTAATAAATAAAATATATTAATAGAGTTTTCATATAATAATTGGGATTATTAAGATTGTAAGTTTTGTTAACTCCACCACACATCTTGTTAAGTTTTAGGTTTCGTTTGTTTTTTGTATTAGGAAATTATTTTAAGAAGCAATAAGAAAGCCGTCCCAAACTAAGTCTTAATTTCTAAATCTTGAAAACAATATTTGAACCCTGTGTTTGGACTTAGGAGTTAACCAAATTTAATAGTTATGCTGAGTAATTTTTGGGATTTAGCACTCAAGGATTTACTAAATTTGATTTTGGATTATCGATTAAGTCCTAGTTCTAATCAAACAGTCTTAATGAGCGTCCTATATCGAGGTCGTTCCTGATGGATGGGAATTGGGAAAAAGGTCATTGTGCTAGCTTTCAGTGCACTTGTGTTTTCCTCTGTGCAAATTATTGTATTCCTGTCTAAGGAGCCCAAATGATGTGTATGCTTCCTATTACTTCATGATGGTCATCTGAGGCATTTTAATCTTTGGCAGTCCGATAAGCCTATACTTGCTTCTTTTTATTGAAGGCCTTTGTGATCACATTCACTACACCTGTGTTTTCCCGGTGCAAAGTATTATTTTATTGTCAAAGGAGCCCAGATGATGTGTCTGTTTTTTTTTATTAATTTTTATTATTATTATTTTGTTAATGATGTGTCTGTTTTCTATTACCTCGTGAAGGCCTTTTGAGGCATGTGCTCTTTGGTGATTCAACAACCCATACTCATGGTTTCTTTTGGCTAGAAGTTGCATTCCAATCAATGAAGAGCATGTTGTTAGCTGCTTTTTTGTTAATTTACCATTGTGGTGGATTTTCATTCATGATGGTGATAAGATATATATATATATATATATATATATATATTGAATATGTAGTTTGAATGAAAATAGAGAGAATTTGATTATTTATGATTTTGAGAATTTTTAAGATTATTTGATTATTGCTTGGGCATCGAAGTTTTCACTCTGAATGGTTCTGATTGCATGATAAATTAATTGTGATTTCCGTGCGTAAAGAGTGTCAAATGGTTTTAAATTAAATGCCTGTTTAGTTGATGATATTTTGTATGTATTGAATGATTTCAATTGGCAAAATACATGGGCAAACTTATCTGTCATCCTTGCAATCTTCATATACATGATGAATGGTTCAATCATAACTGAAATTGAGTAAACTCAATTCAATTACTTTTTCTTATCACAACCAATGACGTGATTTTCACTTTGAAGATCAAGTTTAAAATTATATTATGAGGGTAAATTGTCTTTCTCAGTCGTTTTGTCATCTCTCTCACATACACAAATAAATTTTCTGCATGCTGCTGGAGTTCACCAATTATTATAGCTTGTATGGTGTATTACTGTATTATCAAGTTGTGTCAGGGACCATTTTTTCTTAGATACGTGATAAATAAGTTTTGAGAATTTTCTCCGACCACAACACCTGCGTAAATCATTAGGCGTTTTATGTGTACAAATTCATAGAAAACGAGAGTATGCAACATCTTTATTTATGGTGATCTCTAATAAATTAGATAAATTTTATAATCTTTCTTTATTCTTTGTTCTAATTCATACATATAGAATGATAAAGCAGATGTTTATTATGCAAATATATCTATTTTTTTTTCAAATTTATTTATATTGATTAAATAATGTTTCAAAGTTTGTAATCTTTTTTTGTGGCGATGCAGGGTGGTGCTGGTGGTAGGCCTGCTTTTGGACGTGGCGGTGGTGGTTATGGAGCACCTCCATCATCTTCTCTAGACTAGGCAAGCTTGTTTTGTTTGCATTCTCTTTTTCAAGCACTTGAAAGACATGTTTTGTTAGACGAATCATCTTAAATTTAATGACATTTGAGAAGTTACTATTATTATTACTACTATTTATGTTTTTTATTGTTTAGTTTGATTTTATGGATTCTGTAGCTGTGAGTGGCTATCGTTTCTATTTTTTGACCTTAATTCTTTTATGAGAACCAGTGAATGGATGTTGTGATTTATTCTCATTGCTTGTATTGGTCTTTTATGAGAACCAGTGGGTAACTGTTATAGAGTCCAATTTTAGATCGTCGGATTGAATGTTGCAAAAATAACAATAAGTGCCAGATTTTAGGGCTTAGGGATTTTAATTTTGTATTGTAATCCCAATACTTGGATTAGTAAATATAATCACATGATACATACAAATTATTGCTCATGCAATTAAATATCATTTTGTAATAACATTAAATCAAAAAAAAAAAAATGCAATTAAAACTGAAACATCATCGATTTGACTGAAGTTATGTTGATTCTAGTTTTTAGGTTCAAACTCCGGAAAAATTATTCTGGGCGGTAGATGACGTTCGGAAATCAACCAGAATGTGTCACATCATTTTTTTATTTGGTACTGTTGTTTACCGGGTGATGTGACACGTTCTAGTTGGTCTCCAGATTGTTCGATGTTGGCTTAAAATACTTTCTCCAAACTCAGACGGCAGAAACATATACTGGCTACTGGCTTGTTACAGTCATTGAATTTGGCCTGATTGAATGGGTTACTATGGCATATTTATTTATTTTTCAAGGTTTGTATTTTGGTTTATTCCATCAGGTTGAATTCGCTCTTATAGAAAAAGATAACCATTTATCTGTGATGAAACTCGAATTGGATTGTGATATGGTTCATTTCAATTGATTTGTTAAATAGAAGTCACTTTTTTGCTTATGTTGGTTGGTGGGTTTTGTTATGTGACCTATCATTGCGGTTGCAATTCTTTCATACATTCACAAGTTACCATATTGATTATCAATGCAAACAATAAAAAATCTCAGTATATATCATATAAATTAATTTTTCTTATTTCTTTCCATTATGGTTATATAATATTTATAGTAAAAATTTATAATATATATATCCTCATTATTGAGGATATTCTATTTTATTGTATTTCCATTATTGTTGTATTCTCTTGCCTTTATATAGACATATTTGTATTAACACAAATTCCATCAAACATAAGTGCAGCATTTTATAATTTTTAACACTCCAAGAAATAGGAGCGATTCTGGTGGTAGAAATTGGACTAGACTGCAGAATTTTCAGTAACTCGTACGAGCCACCTGGACGCTAATTTTTTTTTTTAAAAATAATAACATAAAATATCATGCATCAATCAAGCTGCTATTAAATATTTGTTATTGAAGTTATAAAAATATATTATTTTATTTTTTAAAACAGTCAAAAGTTTTAAATTCCTTTAACCAAATAGAGAGTTATTGAAATTATTCATTACCTTTACCATATGCCTTGTTGTCTCTATGTGTGGATCAATGGTTGCGATAGCATCCAATTTGTCAGATGTGTCGATCGTCGGTGATGCTTGGATGAGTTCACTTGAAAATAACAAATGCTTTATTTTCATGCCATAGAAGATTAAACTTCAATATTCAAACAACATTTTTTTTGTGGATTGAAAATAAAGCATTTGATATTTTCAATTGGACTCATCCAAGCCTCACCGGCTATCAACACACCATTGATCCACAACTATAGCATGAAATGCATGCCCAAAATCCGGTAAGATCCTCAATGGATTTAATCCTTCCCTTCCTCATCAACATAGGCAACAAGGCATATCGAGCAATAGTCTGAGGAAGGGTTGGATAATGCATTGAAGATTTTACCAAATTGTGGGCATATATTTTATGCTTGTTGCGTCCTTGAGTATTTGCGGTGGTAGAGAAATATATACTTTAATATCTTAGTATTGTACGAAGATCCGGCACACAATCAGATAAGTGAGAGGGTGTAACATTCGTAAGAGACGCCAATATTTTTACGTGGAAAACCCCTAAAAAGGGGAAAACAACCACGGGGCCTAGCCCAGTTCGTATGAATCCACTAGTATAGGAGTTGATTACAAATGAGGGCTTTCCTTGGGGGAAGGCCTTAGCTCTACGCACATTTTATAGAGTACAGTACATAATGTGAATTCAAGGAGTCACTATTGACGTGTTTGCTTTGTTGGAAGGACTGTAGTCGGTGTGCGACGTAAGTCAAGAGGACCGTAGTCGGCGGGCGACGGAGATCGGAAAGACTGAAGTCGGTGGGCGACGTAAGTCAGAAGGACTGTAGTCGGCTGGCGACGGAGGTCGGAAGGACGGCGTCTGGTTCCAACAATGGAAAAAAATTCATCTTTGGATAGATGTCCAGCGAAAGTCCGGCGTCATGTAGAAACTTGGCGATGAGTGAAGGTCTAGCATCGGGTAGAAGTCCGACGTCTGTTGGTGGCCGAGGAGAACTCCGGTATCACTTGGGCAGAGTTTCGACGTCAGGAGGGAACTCTGTCGTTAATTGGGAAGAATTTCAACATCCAGTGGAACGAGATGCCAGAATTCCGGCATCTCGTTGAAGTCGGGCAGAATTCCGGCATCTCGTTGAAGTCGGGCAGAATTCCGGCGTCATTTAGAGTTCGTGCGGAACTCCGGCGGTGGTCGAGGAGTCTCTTCCCTCCTATTCTTCTCTTCTTCTTCTCCTCCTCCTTGCTTCGGTCCCCTCTCAAGAGAAATGAGGGGTCTAATTATAGATTTTTTGAAGTGGCATGACCCGTAAATATATGAGAGATCAGGGGCAAATATGGAGTGGTTAGAATAAACAACCGATATTGAATCCTTCGATCGTGGACCATTTATCAGGCATTTGAAGGTCTTAATGACTTCAGAGATCTTGGGCTCGTTGGATTCATCCCGTCGAGCCGCTCAATTCGACTATAAGCTCGTCAAGTTTGGAGACCGTTTGGCAACTCAAATTGTGATTCGAACCTTCCGAATGTGCTTCGGGTCTTCGATTTGGACTCATTTGGGCTCGGATTGAGTCGACTTTGGTGTCGTTGGGTTCGTATTTCCGAGACGCTCAGTTTGACTATAAGTTTGTTGAAGTCGAAGTTCAGATGATCCCGAATTTAATTTTTGAAGTTTCCAAACTTGATTTTTGCCTCGAGATTTGTGCCCGATCAAGATAATTTTTCGATGACATATCAATGCTATATGTGTGGGTCAATGGTTGTGACAACATCCAATGATGCTTGGATGAGTCAGCTTGGAATTGAACAACTACTATTTGACTATTTGCCCTTGTTTGATTGGGTTGTTGTCGATGTATAAATTTGTTTACAAGCATTTCTATAGAAAATAGAGTTTAAAAAAAATGTTGTTTGAATATTGGAGTTTAATCTTCTATGTGGACTGCCCATAATCCAGTAAAATCCTCAATGAAATCCAACCCTTCATCATCATCATATTCAACAAGGCATATCGAGCAACAATTAGCAGTGGCCGCTCACGGATCCTGTGGCTTCGGCATAGTTTGGCCCTGTCTCGGGCTGAGTGCAGGAAGTTATTTTTGAGTTCTACAATCTCCTTTTTATAAGAGAAGAAACCAGAAATCTGAGCAATTTGGCAAATAAATCAAAAGTAGAGTTATAAAACAAATTAAAAAGTTAATTGAACATTGTAGAACTATAAAATAGACAGAATTACATAAAAGTTATTGTTCTGCCTGCGATTAGGGCTCATTTAGTTGCTTAAAGATAAAAAAATATTTAATGGATGATAAAATTTTCAAGATCTATCTATTTTAAGTATGATAAAATTTACAAGGGCAGTCTATTCAGTTGCTGTAGAACGATAATTGACCAATTTGGCAAGTAATGGAGATTGTAAAACTCAAAAATAAGTAAACCAATGCATAAAAATAAAATAAAATATAAAAGTCATTTTTAACTAAATGATGATTAATTTTTTAAATTTTCCAACAAAAACTTTTCCGCCGCAATATTTTGCGACGGATTTAACCCGTCGTAAATATTTTTCCGACGCGACTTTTGGCGTCGGAATGTAATCCCTGGAGAAACTAAATTTGAAACAGATTTTTCATCTGGAAAATGACTTAAATTCCTGTAGTGGTTGTAGTGGAGAAATGCATCGAGTTTATTGTGTGATGAAAAATATCCCTCAAACTAAAGAGAAAATTTTATAAGATGGTACTTCTACCTGCAATGCTTTTTGGCACATAACATTGATCATTAAAAGAGAAGCATAAAACTAAGTTGAGTGTTGCAAAAAAGAGGATGCTCACATGGATTAGTGGCTTCACATGTTATTACAGTTTCTAAACTTTTTACTACTAGGCAGAGTGAATTGCATTTGTGCAAAAATCCAATTTTTCATGGAAGAACAAGGCATGTGGATGTTCTCTATCATTTCATTTGTGATTTGGTAAATTCAAGTGCAGTAAAGCTCATTAAAATCTCAACTGATGATAATGCTCTCGGTTTAAGCAATTATTTGGTTCAACTAATTATAGGCTGCTATTAGAAATGTCTGAAGCAATTTATGTATATACAAATCTTGTATCATATTTTTTCCAGACATATTTGAATAAAGAATGATGAACAAGGTTGTATTGTGGATGTAGAGTTCATAAGAACTCGAATCACCTAAATTTTTTGTGTTCTTATTATTTCATTTGTTTTAAGGGCTATTTGAACTTGCTTCTTTATGGAAATCAGTAAACATTAGCTTACTATTTTGTCTTTGAAATTAAATTTTGTAAAAGCTCGATTTGCAAATAAATCTTTAAAACTATGAGCAACTTAAAAGTTAAGAAAATTTGAGTTTTGTAAAGACATGAAATACAAATTTTGCACTCTTTAATAAAAAAGATGGTCGTTTTCTCTTTCAATTGTTGAGATATGGGAATATTGATTTAAATCTCAACTAATATTGCTATAAAAATAAATTTTATTGGTAGAAAAGAGACAACAACCATCTTTCTGATTAAAGAGTGCCAAATTCATTAAGAAACTAAAATTAAGACAAAACTACAATCAAATATTTTAGCCAAAATTTTATATATCATGG